TCCAGCTCAAACCTTACAGAGCTGCTTGACATTTGAAGACAAAAAATACGTTACCTTCAGGATTGACAGCGCTTTATGAGCAACACGGATTTAAGTTGCATTGTAAAATGAAATTTAAAATCGATGTTGTAATTAATGAGAAAAACGCCATTTAATAAGCGATACTCTATGAATACATTTACAAGGGAAAATGTTTTCGATACTATAGCTACCAACAGGAAACGTAGGTACGGGCCGACATGTTGTCATACTAAGTTATACATAGATGCATTCCTGAATTTGACATTTTGTACTAAGTGAATGTCAGTGACGGTGACAGGTAGCCCACGACTTAAATATTGCTCCAGGTAAATTAATGTCTAAAAATAAACACTGTTGGACAGGAAAGATGTTTTTTGTGATAGGTCTACCTTTATCATATATACAGTTGTGAGCAAACTTAACCTGGTAGCCTAGTGCGCTAGAGTTAACAAGAAAAGTGAACTACAGTGCACAAGCATGAAAACTCCAGTAAACGCACATGTTTTTAATCCGGTGCACATGCTTGTGCACTGGGTTATTATAGTGCACATTTCTCTTTATCATAATAATTGGCTGGTTTTCATCAGAACAAATGGCTAAATTATCTAAGCCTCTCCGCTTTTAATAAAAAATGTAAAACAAAAATACTTGGTATACTCTCAAACTTAAAATCATCGAAGTAATATCCTTAAAACACGGGACTTGTATACTTATCTTATTCTCTGCTTAAATGGAAGTAATATGTTAAGTACATACGCATAAATATATCTAATAAAGAGCGATAACTGTTAAAGTATTAGTACATGTATACTTGTATTGGTTGGTTAAAGTTTATAATACTCTGTCTTATACATACTCATTAAAGTTTGTTTGTTTTTAATCATACATATATATTTATGAGTATTAATTTTGTCTTCATTGATAAGGATATTTTAAGTTTAATTAATTAAATATGATCACAATAGCATATACAAATTATTTTAGTTTGTAACATGGAATAGTCGTGCATGTATGTAACTATCATGAATAAGAAAAATTAAATGTACTGTATATATGAAATTTTCCATTTATGACAGGTAACTTTGGTATTTACGCAAATATAGGGTTTCTTTATCGATCAAGAATATGTATCCATACTGATTCTTTTACAAGTATCTGTCTGAACCCTGTTACTGGAGAAACTATGGCAGGCACACTTTTAAAGGGTGTGTACTGCAGAGGGTATAGGGATCTGATATCAGACAACAGGCACTGAGACCACTGTCAAACCTAAATATCTCTTCTCAGTTTAAACCTTAACAGGCACGGACCCAATGTATAGATGGGGGAGGGCAGATGGTCCAGGGACAATTAGTCCTGGTAGACTAGAGTAAAATAGAGGGATTGGGAGTTAACAATCAATTTTGAAATATTTTCAAAAATACTTAATCACCAATTTAAAGCATTGCGGGCTGGGGTGTATATATATGTGTGAGGTTTCCCTAGTTCCACATGTAAACATTATTGGCGTTTAGTGAAGTTAATGTCATTTTCGTCAAATTCAACAATAAAAAGGGTGAGGAATCTCCATAATAAGGGATATTCGTAAAAGTGTGTATCGGGAATGGTTTCTGGCGGTCCCTAGGGAGCTGTCTCTGCCCCGACCTTTCCAATAGTATCGGGAATGGTTACTCGCAGTCCCTAGGGAGCTGTCTCTGCCCCGACCTTTCCAATAGTATCGGGAATGGTTTCTGGCAGTCCCTAGGGAGCTGTCTCTGCCCCGACCTTTCCAATAGTATCGGGAATGGTTTCTGGCAGTCCCTAGGGAGCTGTCTCTGCCCCGACCTTTCCAATAACTTGATACGCCAATACGAATGGTACATGTACCTTGCAGTCCAGTTGTAATGAAAAAGGCCAGTAAAAAAGTATCATCCGACCTGGTAAAAAATAACACTGGACTGCGGCCTTAAAGGTATTTAAATCAAACTATTAGTTATATTTTATAGGCAATGCCACAGTGAAATTGGGTGGCAAAATGACACGAAATTGAGTTTATCTGTGCTCAATGTTAGTGTAAGTGCTACAACATTTTTATCTTTTTTTGGACATGTACGTTACCTTATCGCGAGGTAAATCCCAGCGTCTGATACTCTCTAACGTGTAACTGGCTAAGTGGTACTAATTGTTCAGCAGAAATAGGTCAATTATCTTTTGTCCTTGAACCATGCAAGTTCAGTAGTACCCAAGAACAGAAATGCTTAAGTGATTTTTGACACCTTTATATTAACAGACTTTCTATAGATACAAAGGAAGTGCATTCTATTTTCTCAGGAAATCATATTTGACCTTCATTTATACAAAAAAGATTTCTAGGATATCAATTTGATGAAAATACTTCATACTGATTTTCGAATGGCTATTGCAAAATATCCTTATTATCTACAAGCTGATATTGAGAAACTTGTTGCTTATTAAGGTCGACACTTAAAAGTTCTCACTGATAACACAAGTCATAATAAAAAGATTATTTTGAAAAAATCATCTATTGAAAATTGATATCCAAATTAAGAGATTTAAATACATTTTTTGTATAGGAATAAGTTATTCAAAGGGAAAGGCAGTGTTGTGAAATGGCTGTCATTTCTTGACCGAGGGACAGCCACAATATCTTACCTGTATGTTTTCACTGTGTACTGATTTACCTGTATATAGATGTACTTGGCGGACAGTCAATGAGCTTGATTAATTGCCGTTAAATCACACAAGGTGACCTTGATAAGGTAGATCCCTTCATAATCCAATGTGACCACAGGCGAATAGTCAATGTGTTATCACTACCTATAATCGCAGGTATATATAACATATTGAAAAGAAAATATCTATCAGCGGGTGGTCATATTGCTTTAGCAACCTTTAAATCGGCTACTGAAGTACTGTTGTAACTTTTTGTTTAAAACTTGAGGTTCCTTTTGATACAAAAACAGTGATACTTTATGTGATCGTTTAAAACTATACAATCAGTCATAATTCGGTAATCATTCAACTAACTCATTTGTGTAACATCCGCAGTTGTACCCCTGGATCCATGAAATTTGTCGTCACTTAACAAGACATAAGTCATTACCACACAGCTGTAAACCTGTTATTACTGTATTACTTCTGAGCTGCTGGTATTGGGGAACACACAAATACTGATATAAGATTGAATAGGAAATCTTATTAACTCATAGGCCATTCACTAAAATATATAAACCACTATTCACCGAGAAACTGCAAAAGCTATCGCCTATTTATGCGCACGTTATACCGCACAGTTTGCCACATCGTTCGCACATGTATACCACATGTACACACATGTACACCACATGTACACCACATGTACACCACGTGTACACCACATGCACACCACATGTACACACATGTACACAACATGTACACCATATGTACACCACATGTACACACATGTACACCACATGTGCACCACATGTGCACCACATGAACACACATGTACACCACATGTATACCACATGTACACCACATGCACACAACATGTACACACATGTACACCACATGTACGCCACATGTACACCACATGTACACCACATGAACACACATGTACACCACATGTACACCCCATGTACACCACATGTACACACATGTACAAAACATGAACACCACATGTACACACATGTACACCACAATTACACCACATGTACGCCACATATACACCACATGTACACAACATGTACACCTCATGTACACCACATGTGCACCACATGTGCACCACATGAACACACATGTACACCACATGTACACCCCATGTACACCACATGTACACACATGTACACAACATGAACACCACATGTACCCCACATGTACACCACATGTACACCACATGCACACAACATGTACACACATGTACACCACATGTACGACACATGTACAAACATGTACACCACATGTACACACATGTACCCCACATGTACACCACATGTACACACATGTACACAACATGTACAACACATGTACACCACATGTACAGACATGTACACAACATGAACACCACATGTACACCACATGTACACCACCTGTACTACGCATGTACACCACATGTACACCACATGTACGCGTCATGTACACACATGTACACAAATGTACACCACATGTACCCCACATGTACACACATGTACACCACATGTACGACACATGTACAAACATGTACACCACATGTACACACATGTACACCACATTTACACCACATGTACACACATGTACACCACATGTACACACATGTACACCACATGTACAACACATGTACACCACATGTACACACATGTACACAACATGAACACCACATGTACACACATGTACACCACATGTACATATATGTACACCACATTTCACCACTGGCTGAATGGTCTATATCGTTAAGCAACAGCAGTTTCTTTTCCCGTATTTCAATAAAAAAGTAAGTTATTTTTTAAGTATTTCTCAATACATCACTAGTGTAGTTATTTTGTGGGTTTTTGTGCAACACTTGCTAAGTTGTATCCATCGTTAAATAAAGCACTTAATTTGTTGCTTTTATCTTATTCCCAATATACTTTTGCTTTGAGGTAGCTTCAGACATTAATGAAATCTTACACAAATGACATAATGAACAACAGAAAGTCACAAGAATCGACACTACGCTGTTGCGATCGTATTTATCCTTCAGCGACGAGTTAGTATAATTAGTATGATTATTTCCCTGTAACGAAACAAGGAAGTTCAGTAAAGTGATGTCGATCTACCAGTTTGAAAAGTATGATAAAGATTATTTACGCATACATGTGTATGGGCTGAGCATTTTAAATACGTATGATGATTACCGTGTAATTGTTTTTGTCTAAGTGTTGTCCAGGATAGTTGCCTGGTCGATTGAATACATTTTAAAACGGCAAAATGCATTGGCTTTATTTATAAACTGAATATTAAATCCCCTTTTTCATTTGTTTCAGAGATCACTACGTAACTCACATGATTTCCCAACTGATTACTGTGATGGATTATCCACGGATAAAGAGTTTCCATGTACTCGAACTGTTCAATCTAACTGTACATTGGCAGAGGAGGAAAGGCGTAAAAAGAAGAGAAGACGACAAATTGATGACACATCAGGGTACAGCACGACATCGCTCAGTGAAATGTCTGAGTTCGAAACTCTCACAAAGAGGGAACAACGACGAGGTCCAAGTAGCCATCAGTTGTATGTAGGGAGGAGACGTCAATCTGCAACTGACGACAGAAGTGATAAAAGCAGAGTGTCACAGTCTACAAGTAGACGTGCAAGTGAAGTGTCGAAGACCCATTCAAGTAGACATTTAAGTGAATTATCAAAAAGTTCATCACGACCAGAATTGGATAGAACACCACACAGAATTCCGAGAGTTCATTCTACTGCGGAAAGCCTTGGGAGTTTACACAGTGGTCGGAGTGCAAGAAGCAATCATACTCATCGGAGTAACCATTCAAAATCACATACGAATACTGTGCAGGGGAAAATGGCTCGTTCAACAGACCATAGCGATCCTTTTGCGTTTATACAACCTGTTCCCGAATCATGTAGTTCACGTTTGCGAAAGACATTGAGACCATGCATGGGGGTGCTCATCATGCTAATTTTAGCTGCAAGTCTCGGAGCTGCTATTTACTTTGCTATAGAATTGAAAAGTAAGTTGCCATTTCTATTTTATTTTAATCAAAACGAGTCCGTTTAGGTTTTCGATAAGTAAATTGATTCTTCTTTATCCACCCGTACTTTTACACTTGTCGCATGTTGTAATGACACATTAGAACATACAAGGTATACACAGGGATTGTTTGAAATCTTGTCTAGTCCCTTCCCTTCACCAGAACGATTTTTCAATTTCTACAAATGTTATTGATTAATATCAAATGATTTGGACAACAGTAAAGCGTATCGAATTCCTTTCCATTAGGTTCTATATAGATACATGTCAGTGAAAAAGGTAAATAGTAGATTTCATATGGTGATGACATATATTTAAAGAGAAATAGCTTAAGTATGAAAGCAATGATGTTAATGTTAACACAAACATTCAAAGAGTAGATTAATAACTTCTATTAATATATCATAATTATATGGATTGGATATGAAACCATTGATTGTACTATTTACACACACATTCAAAATCAAAAAATAGATTAATTAATACCAGACGGATGTTTTGCTCCAATCAAGGTTCATCTAAGGTTCATCAAAATGCGTACCCCGGTCCAAATAGCAAATATCAGCCTATGTTCAAAATCCTTCAAATGCAATTTTTTAATCGTATTTCTTCTGGAGCATATACATACGGAGTGTGGGACGCAGGGCCGAAAGTCGATCGGAAGTCTAAAGAAAAATCTTTAAAACCATTTTCCTTCCATTCAAATAATAGAATTATAACCATATATAATCTGCAGCGTTCATGCAGGGAAATATTGAATGCTGTATAATTTTGTCGTGCTCAACCCCCAAAAAGACAAAAGTCCATCCCTTTGCAAAATCTACAATTAATCGGGAATAAGAGACGGATGCGAACACAGTCATGTAACCAGGATATGAAAATAGGTCAAGCCCGCTTAACCGTTTTGACAATGTTAAGATGCCGACCCTATAACTGTATATGTATCTTTGCTAATAAGAAGAAAATACATTCATGATATCAGGGGTTGCCTAGTCCCGAGGTAAAAGAATAAAGAATTGTGTTTTATATTTCAATACTAAGAGACAAATTCATAAAAGGGGAATTATTTGTTATGTAAATCAGATATTGACCTCTGGTTCCACCAACAACAATCCTTGGAACACATTTTAATGAAGTTACGTAAGGTACAGAGGACATGTGTCCCAAAACACTATAGGATGCACAATACTAAATTAGTAGTTGTATGTTCTATAAAAACCACCTCTCTATAGAAAAAACATTTGTTTTGATAATATATATCTGGCTTCTTTTTACAATCCGTTCTAGTGAAATCAAACTATCGAATCATATACTGTCTAAATATTAATAAACTGTTTATTAGATAATAGCCGGAATAAGTTAAGTATCTAAAACAAGATGCCTAAAATATAAAAAAGCGCTCTTTATAAAAACAGTTTTTTATAATAGCAAACATTATATTATACGAAAAACTCGTTTCAAAATAAAAGCTTTTCTGTAGAGTATCAAACTAGCTATAGTCTTTAAAATAGCAACTGTTCGAAAAACATGAAAAGAATACCGAAGCGGCAGCAAAACCATAATTCGAACTCAAAATCAAAATTAGGACAAAATGTGAATAAAGAAAAGATTACGAAAGACACTCTTGAAACAGTTAATATTTTAAATACAAGTGTGTAATACTTTTTTGTTCCTATTTAAGTATTAGTTTGTCATCATTTTTAGCTCCTGTTCTTTTATACGTGTCATCATTCTCAGTCCCTATTGTATTGTTAGTGTGTCATCATTCTCAGTTCCTGTTGTGATGTTGGCGTGTCATCATTCTCAGTTCCTGTTGTAGTGCTAGTGTTATATCATCATCAGTTCATGTTTTAGTGTTAGCGTGTCATCATTCTCAGTTCATGTTGTTGTATGAGTGTGTCATCATTCTGAGTCCCTGTTGTAGCATGAGTGTGTCATCATTCTCACTTTATGTTGTAGTATGAGTGTGTCATCATTCTCAGTTCCTGTTGTAGTGTTAGTGTTATATCATTCTCAGTTCCTGTTGTAGTGTTAGTGTGTCATCATTCTCACTTCATGATGTTGAATGAGTGTTTCATCATTCTCAGTCCCTGTTGTGGTGTTGGCGTGTCATCATTCTCAGTCCCTATTGTATTGTTAGTGTGTCATCATTCACAGTTCCTGTTGTGGTGTTAGTGTGTCATCATTATCAGCCCCTGTTGTGGTGTTAGCGTGTCATATTTCTCAGTTCCTGTTGTAGTGTTAGTGTGTCATCATTCTCACTTCATGTTGTTAAATAAGTGTGTCATCATTCTCAGTTCCTGATTTAGTGTTAGCGTGTCATCATTCTCAGTTCCTGTTGTAACGTTAGCGTGCCATCATTCTCCGTTCCTGTTGTAATGTTAGGGTGCCATTATTCTCAGTTCCTGTTGTAGTCTTAGCGTGTAATCATTCTCACTTCCTGTTGTAGTATGAGTGTCATCATTATCGGTTCCTGATTTAGTGTTAGCGTGTAATCATTCTCACTTCCTGTTGTAGTATGAGTGTCATCATTATCGGTTCCTGATTTAGTGTTAGCGTGCCATAATTATAAGTTACTGTTGTAATGTTAGAGTGCCATCATCCTCAGTTCCTGTTTTAGTGTTATCGTGTCATCATTCTCAGTTCCCGTTCTAGTGTTAGTGTGTCATCATTCACAGTTCCTATTGTAGTGTTAGCGTGTCATGATTCTTAGTTCCTGTTGTACTCTTATTGTGATATCATCCTCAGTTCCTGTTGTAATGCTAGCGTGCCATCATTCTCAGTCCCTGTTGTAGTGTTAGCGTATCATCATTCTTAGTTCCTGCTGTACTGTTATTGTGAAATCATACTCAGTTCCTGTTTTAGTGTTAGTGTGCCATCATTCTCAGTTCATGTTATAGTGTTAGTGTGTCATCATTATCAGCCCCTGTTGTAGTGTTAGCGTATCATCATTCTTAGTTCCTGTTATACTGTTATTGTGATATCATCCTCAGTTCCTGTTTTAGTGTTATCGTGCCATCATTTTCAGTTCCTGTTGTAATGTTACCGTGCCATCATTCTTAGTTCCTGTTGTACTCTTATTGTGATATCATCCTCAGTTCCTGTTTTAGTGTTATCGTGCCATCATTCTCAGTTTCTGTTGTAATGTTAGCGTGACATCATTCTCAGTTCCTGGTGTAATGTTAGCGTGCCATCATTCCCAGTTCCTGTTGTAATGTTGGCGTGCCATCATTCTCAGTTCATGTTATAGTGTTAGTGTGTCATCATTTTCAGTTCCTGTTGTAATGTTACCGTACCATCATTCTCAGTTCCTGATATAGTGTTAGTGTGTCATCATTATCAGCCCCTGTTGTGGTGTTAGCGTGTTATCATTCTCAGTTCCTGTTTTAGTGTTAGTGGGTCATCATTCTCAGATCCTGTTGTAATGTTAGCGTACCATCATTCTCAGTTCCTGATTTAGTGTTAGCGTGCCATTATTCTCAGTTCCTGTTGTAACGTTAGCGTGCCATCATTCTAAGTTCATGTTATAGTGTTAGTGTGTCATCATTCTCAGTCCCTATTGTATTGTTAGTGTGTCATCATTCACAGTTCCTATTGTAGTGTTATCGTGTCATCATTTTCAGTTCCTGTTGTAGTGTTAGCGTATCATCATTCTTAGTTCCTGCTGTACTGTTATTGTGAAATCATACTCAGTTCCTGTTTTGGTGTTAGCGTGTAATCATTCTCACTTCCTGTTGTAGTATGAGTGTCATCATTATCGGTTCCTGATTTAGTGTTAGCGTGTCATCATTCTCAGTTCCTGTTGTTGTATGAGTGTGTCATCATTCTCGGTTCCCGTTGTAGTGTTAGTGTGTCATCATTCTCAGTTCCTATTGTAGTGTTAGCGTGTCATCATTTTCAGTTCCTGTTGTAGTGTTAGTGAGATATCATTATTAGTTCCTGTTTTAGTATTAGCGTGTCATCCTTCTCAGTTCCTGCTGTAGTATGAGTATCATCATTCTCAGTCCCACTTGTGGTGGTGACGTGTCATCATTCACAGTTCCTATTGTAGTGCAGTCCCTATTGTATTGTGAGTGTGTCATCATTCACAGTTCCTATTGTAGTGCAGTCCCTATTGTATTGTGAGTGTGTCATCATTCTCATTCCTGTTGTGGTGTTTGCGTGTCATCATTCTAAGTTCCTGTTGTTGTTGTATGATTGTGTCATCATTATCAGTTTCTGTTGTCATGTTTAGTTCCTGTTGTTGTATTAGCGTGTCATCATTCTCTGTTCCTGTTGTTGTATTAGCGTGTATCATTCTCAGTCCCTTTTGTGGTGTTGGCGTTTCATCATTCTCAGTTACTGTTGTAGTGTTAGCGAGATTTCATTATCAGTTCCTGTGGTAGTGGTATTGTGGTTTCATTCGCAGTCCCTGTTGTGGTGTTAGTGAGATATCATTATTAGTTCCTGTTTTAAGTGTGTCATCATTCACATTTCCTGTTGTAGTGTCAGTGAGATTTCATTATCTGTTCCTGTTTTAGTGCAAACGTGTCATCATTCACATTTCCTGTTGTAGTGTAGTTTGAGGGTTTGCGTGTCAACATTCTCAGTTCCTGTCGTAGTGTTAGTGAGACTTCATTATCAGTTCCTGCTTTAGTGTGAGCGTGCAGTCATTCTCAGTTCCCGTTGTGGTGTTGGCGTGGCATCATTCTCAGTCCCTATTGTAGTGTTAACGTGTCATTAATCTCAGTTTCTGTTGAAGTGTTAGTGAGATTCCATTATCAGTTCCTGCTTTAGTGTGAGCGTGCAGTCATTCTCAGTTCCTATTGAAGTGTTAGCGTGTCAACATTCTCAGGTCCTGTTGTTGTATGATTGTGTCATCATTATCAGTTTCTGTTGTCATGTTTAGTTCCTGTTGTTGTTGTATGATTGTGTCATCATTATCAGCCCCTGTTGTAGTGTTAGAGAGATTTCATTATCAGTTCCTGCTTTAGTGTGAGC